AAAAGGCTACCGCCGTTACACGTTTCTGAGGATATAACTTTTTTCAATGCAGTTCCGAAGTTCCAGCGGTAGACTTTGAGCTAGTGCTCAAAGTGTTTCCAGTTCTATCGTTGACTGATTAGATTAGGTGGCTTTTAATTGGTTCCATTAGGATTTTCAATTAAATGCAACTTTGTATGTTACATTTTCCCGTTTACATTCCTATAAAATAGAATTTTATGTCCACTACGTAAATATGTTCAAGATTTCTGTAGCTCCAGCGGTAGACTTTAACTCTTTGATGTTGAATGGAGCTTCCGGTTCTGTCGACGATTCATGGGATAAATGAATTTTAATTAGGCCTATTAGGTTTTTCCACCAAATGAAGCTTTGTATATTATAGTTTCTCTTTCACATTCACATTTAGCCTTTAAGAGGAACATTTGTAGAAATACGTAATTGTATATGATATTATAACTGGTTGAAAAACTCGAATAGATCGATGAATACTTAGGCGTCCTACTGTAAATGTGTTCAATCTTCCAATATCTATTTTTACTTTTATATTTAGAGTAGCAGAAAAAGATATTTATATACTGTCGTATTTATTACAGTATTTATATACTAATTAATTAAGTCCAACTATATAAAACTTCGTATCATTTAAATGCTAAATAAAACGCTTATAAGTAGAAAATAAGAATATGTGCAAATACTCTTTACAACCACCGTATATTTTCCAAACCTTCTTAAAATTTAGGATAATAAGTTAACCTAAACTGGTATTTATTTGTGACTTGCAGATCTTCGGTAGCAAGGCGGACCTGCAACTCCACACGCAGATCCACATGCGCGAGGCGAAGCCGTACAAATGTACCCAGTGCTCGAAGGCGTTCGCGAACTCCTCGTACCTGTCCCAGCACACCAGGATCCACCTGGGCATCAAGCCGTACCGCTGCGAGATTTGCCAGCGGAAGTTCACCCAACTGAGCCACCTACAGCAGCACATCCGCACGCACACCGGTGACAAACCGTACAAGTGCCGGCATCCAGGCTGCACGAAGGCGTTCAGCCAGCTGAGCAACCTACAGAGCCACTCCCGCTGCCACCAGACCGACAAACCGTACAAGTGTAACTCCTGCTACAAGTGCTTCTCCGATGAGCCCAGCCTGCTCGAGCACATACCGAAGCACAAGGAGTCGAAGCACCTTAAAACGCACATCTGCCAGTACTGCGGCAAGAGTTACACCCAGGAGACCTATCTGGCGAAGCACATGCAGAAACATGCGGAGAGGACGGACAAGAGACCACCGATAATCGGTACGGGGCTCAGGCCGTCGATCCACGCAATGGCGGCTCATCATCAAGACCACTATTGGCCAAAAGTCAGCCCAGATTCGGTGATCAGCGATCTACACGACCGGCTGCCTCATCACCACACCGACTACCATCAAAATCAGAACCCGGAGATGCTATTACCTGGCCACGGACACCGTGGCGAGTCCATCGAGAACGATTCGAGGCAACAGACCCCTCAACCAGGCGCCAATCATCACCCAAACAGTAGCTCGGCATTTACGCCGATCTCGTCGATCTCGATAAATTCCATCTCCTCCATGCAACATCCGCTGAATCCACTGAACCATTTGCACTACCCTGGCAGCCATCATCCAGCCTCCAGGCCGTACCTCTACGAGGCCTTCAACACAACGCAGAAATCCTCGCCGGCGTCATCCTCGTCTGGGGTCACGTCGGGCACGACCAGCAACCAGAACGCGACCTCCTTCCCGAACCAGTTGATCAGCCTCCATCAAATTAGGAACTACGCGCACCAACCCAACCTTGGAAATCTCGGGAACTTGGGAAACCTAGGAAACCTGAGCAATCTCAGCAACCTAAGCGCGACAATGGAGAGCCACGCTCTCCTCGGTGGACTCAAGGAGAAACAGTAACTCCGGCTGGTCGCGGAGATTAGGAACAAAAACTATTTGCTACTTCTCCTCGATTTCTTTTCTTCTTCTTCGTCTATACCTGTACCTCATCCTTATGTCCTATTTTTCCCGCGATCTTTACAGGGTCCAGGATGTTTGTATGATATTTTACATTGCGTTATGAGTTTGTTCGGAAGGGAAACGCCTATCGAACATTCGCTGCTCCTACGTTTCGCCCTTATACTTCTTTTAGCATTTAATTTCTATGGGACATTCTGAAAACTGTTTGCGGTGTGTGCATGCAGCCTGATCAAGAGTGATTTTGTGTAGGGTTCCTGTCTTTATTTAGGATGGTGCTGGGTGTAGTTATTCGCTGTGCGATAATAGTCAGTTTGTAAAACAACAATTGTATATTTTTATACATTTTGGTTTAACAGGAATCGCTTACACGTATAAGCATAAATATACATGAATATATATCTCGAAGATGAGAAACCTATTTAAAAAAGAAATACTGCGTTTTGTTTACTCTTTAAACGATCTCTTTCGTTAGTTAATGAGAACTATGGAAAACAGACCCATTTACGTAAATCTGAATAATTGAAAATAACGAATAATGTATAGAATTTTCTATATTTGGAAGATCAGATAACTTAAAGGAAAAAATTCTTCATTTTCTTGTACAATCTTAAACGAATTTATTTCATCAAATAACAACCTGGAACTGTTAATGAAAACGATCGCAAACGTATCTAAACAGCGAAAGATCGACGACTCGATCAAAAGAGAAATACCCTACCGTTATTTCCATCGAGGAACATTAATCTTGTCGAAAAACATTTCACGAGTCGAGTGCAAATCGATTTGGCGACTTTTAATCGTTTCAATGCTACCGGCCATTCATGCATGAAGCACAAATATTAGAAAGTACCCTGTTCGATGTGGTATCGATCGGGTAACTTCCTATCGATTCGCCGAGAATCGGCAAAATCGATTTGCGATCGAAGTCCTCCCAATATAACCAAGCGTTTAACCACGACGCTGATTAACTTTCACGTTCGTAGTTAGCTAGAAAATAACTTGGAACGATAATCGACGAGCATGTTTCTCGATGTTCCCTCCGATTACCCATGGCGAATAGCCATCCGACTATCCTGAACTCTCCACTCGAATTTACCACATTTCCTAGCAAAACTACTTTCGAGAGACGTCCTTCTTCAGTTCCAAGCGAATACTTTCATCCTCCCTCTGCAATCCACCCCGGAGATCTCCTTAGGTTAACGTTCTACTTCAAGTTTAACAGTCCTCCTAAGTCTTCTTTTCTTTCTATTGATACTTAATCATCCGTTGGTCCCATCGATTTATAGTGTTACTGATGTTGGAGAGAGGTTTTAAACTGACCGAATTTTGTAGTTTGAATAAGGTTTTGTTATTATGAAAGTTGTACAGTGGAGTTGTTTAGCGAAATTTAGAAATCTTGGGCTTGTTTAACTCGGATTTTCGTAATTTCGTTGGATCAGTGATTTGTGGTAGATTTTTTGGTATTTAATTTGCAAACAATGTTGTGGTTTTGTTACACGTATTTTATATACGTAGCATGAATATTAAATATTCTTCGATGTGACTGCTTCCTTTTTTTTATTTCGCATATAAATTCGCTATAGAATGCATTAATGTATGATCGCGTAGCACTGTACGACGAGACTATCGTACAGATGTACAAAGAATCACCTCGAAGATTATCTTATCGTTCCAGAGGACGAATTCAAAACGATAATTTCCCAGGAATTTAGAAAATAGTTCTAAAAATTGCAGCAATCACGAAACCAATCGCTTTTTGAAACTCGTCCTGTACATTCGACGAAGAAATCTTGTGAAGTAGCAGAAACGTAGTTTAAAAGCAATTATTTCGTAGATCAACACGTGCAATCCGTTTCATTCAATTTTCATTATATTTTCTATTGCAAAGATCTCTTAATTGGTATCATTGAGGTTCATGGCAATTTCGAATTGGATTATCTAATATTGAGAATGTAACGTAGAACGTAGAATGCAAAATGAAATTAAAAATCCTAAATTTTAGTAATCCAACGTGAATCATAGTCATTTATGATGCAACGATAGTATTCGAAGATTAATTTTTAACAGACAGTTTTGGTTCATAGATAGCTATGATAGTTAACTATCTATAACATAAAACAATACAAAAACTACGAATTGAAATTAAAAAAAAATACTTTGAAATTAAATATTTAATTAAATGTTTAATCGAAACTTACCTACGATCTAATAATACCAATTGGGGTTGATACTCAAAAATCGCTTGAAAGTCTCGTCCACGATTAGAGGAAGAGATGAAAATGAGTATAACCGGCGAGAATCGATGGGACCGCGGTTAGTTCCGTTCTTTTCGTGTTCCTGCCTCCCAGGAGCATCGTACGTAAGAGGGAATAGCAAAGCCAGGAGAAATCGTGTCGTGGAGTAGAGCTATTTTCCAAGGGGTGGCTCGCCCCCTGGAACCGGTGCGGGGGGATGGGCACACCTTTCTAGGTCGAGTGGACGTTTCGTTCGCAACGGGATAATTAACGAAGCGAATGTGTGTGTTTGTGTGTGTCTGAGCATGCCAGAGACTCTTCTGTGTATGTGTGTGCATGTGTCTGTGTATGTAGTTAGGCGAGTGGGTGATAGAGGAGAAGAAAAAGAGATAGGTGAATGGATAGTGAAGGAAAAGGAAAAGAGTTGGACGAGTAGGTGGCAGAAGAGAAGGAAAAGAGATAGGCAAGTGGGTGATGAAGGAAGAGGAAAAGAGTTGGGCAAGTGGATGGTGAAGAAAAAGGAAAAGAGTTGGGCGAGTGGATTTTAAAGGAGAAGGAAAAGAGATAAGTGAATGGATAGTGGAGGAAAAGGAAAATAGTTGGGCAAGTGGGTGGTAGAGGAGAAGGAAAAGACAAAAAAAAGTGGGAGTCGAAGCATCACACGCACCATTTAAATAGGAGTTACACGCGTACACATACATTACATGAGGGCACAAATCGTGTGAATAGCTTTTTTTCAGCGAGAAAACGGAGAGCACGGGAGTGAGTGAGGGTGCAAGAGAGATTTAGGGTAGGTCGACGACAGTGCCACGAAATTATAAATGCGAAAGTAACGGAGATAATAGGGAATTAAAAAGGGGACGAGGAGCAGAGAGGAAGGGGAGAGAGAGAGGGAGAGAGAAAGAGTAGGCGAGCATGTAAGAAGGGGTAAGATAGGGTTGGAACGCGAGCAACTATACAGGCGCACAGAGAAAAAGAGAACGGTACGGAGAACCTCCATGTACATAGTTATTATATATATAAATATATAAATATATAAATATAAATAAATGAATAAATAAATATTATATATTATTATTATTAATTAATTAATTGATCGATATTCGGTAGGTGCGTAAGGGAAAAAAAGAGAGCAAGAGGATATAGACTCTACTGAAGATATTCTAAGTACCTTGTCTAACACGAATATAATTAAAGAAGTGAAAACCGTATGAGTGAAATAAAGAGAATGAATGGGAGAATGTTCGAAGTTAAAAGAAAAAGCAAGCAATCGTTGCCCAAAGTTATTTACGATAATTTTTCTTTCTCTTAAGAGCGCGTTTCCGTTCTACGAAACCGCGGTACGATCAACCTTGGCGATCGGTTCTTTCTCTACTTATCACGCCGTTATTTCTTTTCCTTTCATTTCGATAGTCTATAAAATGAAGATCATCGATCGTCGTGGCTTATCGAGCCCGGTTATTTAGAAAAATTCGAGACGTACGAAAATTCGACGTATGCCGAATGAAAAGAGAGAAGAACACACGTGTACTGTAGATAATTTCTTGTTACGGCGCCGCCGATGTCTCGTTTCGTGGCTCTCTTCTTAATCGGTTTTGATCGATCCGCGAGGTGCAGGGCTATAAAAAGATTTCTCTTTTATTTTTATCATTTTCTAACTGAACTCTAACTCTTTTTACTTTTTTGTCGTTTTCACGTCCATTACTTCCTTTTCTACGAATGAACGATATTCTATTCTAAGGTCCATCTTCCTTATGGACAGAAAAAAAAAATAAATAAAAAAGAAGTGAGACACACGAGACGCGACACGTCGGCGCTTCACCTGTGCTCAAGTTGTTTAAAACTATTAGTTTGTTAACTAAGAAGTGAGAGAGGTTGGAAGAAAGAGAGGGAGAAAGAGAGAGTGAGTTTGAACGAGAGAGAGAGTGAATTTGAAAGAGAGAGAGAGGAGGAGAGAGAGGATGAACGAAAGACTGGAATGAATGAGAAAGAGTAAACGAGAAAGTGTTAATTAATAATTCCGCGTGGAAAGCGGAGCCCGATCGCGGTCTCTCGTTTCGTTCGACGTTTGTTCTTTCTTGTTTATTTCAAGATCGACTTATGATCGTCGACAAGGAATAAACGATTCAAACATAGTAGATCGTTAAATGAATGTGAAGCAAAGAGAACAGGAGAACGTCGAAGAAAGCGCGCGAGAAAAATCGTAGAACAAAAGGGGCGGTTGTATTCGGGCAAGAAATACTGAAAGGAAAAAAAAACACGAGAGCGATCGTCTTTTTTTTTCTTTTTTGTTCGTTGATAACGAAATTGAACACGAGGGTAAGGGTGGGGACGGGGCGAGAGTGGAGGAATTTGTTTTTTTTTTAATTCGGGGGTTGTGGGTGGTTATAACGAGCGTCGTCGTCTTCGTCAGGTCCCCCCGCGCTTTAATTGTGATCTTTTTTTTGTGTCTACCCTTTAGTTTCCATTTGATGATTATTTTATTATTATTTTATTAATATTATTATTATTAATATTATTATTATTATAATTATGATTTCGTTTAATAAACTGTCACATTAAAAGACAAACGTCTGACTTGGCGGAGGAAGTGACAGACTGCTAGTGTTCTTCTGTCACGTCATCATCTTCCTCCCCTGAGACTACCACCAGCCCCCATCAATTCGAAGAACCCTCTCCTTTCTCTTCTTCATGAACATAAATCGCGTGAAGGAACTCCTTATCCCTAAGTACGTTTCTTTTCTCATATTTCTCTTAGGAAACAGAGGTTCTTCCGTTTTATTCTATTATATTTTTAACAACGCGAATTTGATTTACAGATTGAAGTCACAGAGTTGATTCTAGATAATTTCTCGTCATAGAAGAACCTAATCTCAAAAAATCTTTTCCCTCCTTTGTCTTCCACGATAGATTTTTCCACTTGTTCTTCTCTTTTTAGTTGTCTTCTCATCGTTGTACTTACTACTAGTTTGCCTTCTATTCTGTTCTTCCGTTATCTTTTTCTTTCCTTTTCCTTTTTTCTTTTTTTTTCTTTCTTTTTCTTTTTCTTTCTTTTTTTTTTTTGACGATAAAATCTGCAGTGAGATGCCGTCCATTATGCTTTCGGAAACTAACGAAGATTACCAAGGGACGCGGAGGATCGATCGTTCGCGAGCGCAAGTTCCTCAAGCTCGTTGATTTCGAGTCGACGAAAAATGGAATTCCTTTCTCGCGTCTTGTGGGTTTTTACGCGAATCACGCGTCGATCTTTGCGGATAACGATAAAAATCGGCCACGAAAAAAGGCAATTTCACAATACATCGGAGAATTCATTTTTCATAAACTTAGGGTATCGCGATTAACGTTGAAATTAATATTTCTCGAAGTACTAGGACTGTTAATAGATGCTTCACGAGTAAGACGAATAAGCTATAAGCGTTCGCTCGTTTGTTTTCGTTCGTAGTTGTAGAAGCGAAAATTGTTAAATTCTTTGTCGTTGTACCATTTGAAAAATACGATACTGTTGAAAGGTTAAATTTTAATAGAATGTAGATAAAGAGTCTTTAGAATCGTAGAATATTTTTCTTCTAAGGAATGATTAAGAATTTACATTGAATGTATCAATCGCTTGCGGAACCATCGATCCTTTCGATCCTCACGTACAATCAGTTCCTTTCAATAAAATTTGTTCATTTTCTGGCAATGAATAACTGACGCAAAAAAAATGATAAATTGTCGAGTCATGTACAATACGTGAATTGGTCTGCCAAAAGAATAGATGGAGAACAAAAATGATTGGAATGCTTGCGGTCTTTCGAAGAATAAACAAATTACCGCTCATTCAATAAAAAAATTTTATTTGACAATAAAAAATTACAAACTTTGCTGATTTTCTTTTTTCCTGTAGCATTATGAAGATTAAATTAACGGATAGACTTTTTCAGAAGGCCACAGGCATGTTCTTAATCGAAATCTCTTTATGGTTCCACACCGGGTCCCTTTAACCCTGAAACGTAAATTCATTCAGTCTTCGCTGTTTTCGCTGTTTTAATACTATGTACATACACATTTAAAATTTCAAATTTTCTTAATAGAATAAAACGTGATAGTTTCATCGAATATTTCAGAACATTCTTTTGTAAAAAGCTATTGTTGAGAATCTTGGGTGTAAGAAGGTTAGGCGAAAGTACACAATGGTTGAAGAAAGTGTTTGAATATTTACCGTAGAAAACTTCTATGCATAGAATTACGCATGTTACGTATGTTATGTATATAATAAGACTATTTAAGTTTCATAATTGATTAATTTTATTCTCTGTTACGATACGTTTTCACTATTTGGAAGCAAAAGAGATTTCTTTACAACAATAAATACAACCACTATTTTGATTATTTAAATTTTATTTTACGCTCTCTGCGAAACATATATTTGCACATATTATACACGTACGGTTTCCATGTATATTTTCAAATTTGTTTCACACTTTATCACCAGTATAGTTATAATAGTCGTATCTTATTACGGTACTAATGAAATTCTAAAATGTTCCCTAGACATAAACACATGAGACACATATAACACAATATTCATAAAACATTTCTACAAGTGTTTGAACACTTTCTCGGGCCACTGTATTGATCTTCTCGATTGTGATAATGATTTTCTTGACTGAGAGATGAGAATTGGAAAGACTGGTTACACTTTGTTTTACCTTTAATTGAATCGTTAGCGACGTAGTGGATCGAGAAAATTGCGAAACGTTTCTTGATCGATTGGCGGGGGGTGGAAAATGGAGTAGACAATAGTTGCGAGGCGACAATAGGAGACTCTACTTCTCTTTATTATCTGCGGATTATCCGATCGATTCCTTTTGATTACCACGTTATGTAGCGATTACCGAACGAACAATAAATGTAATAACTTTATCCGTAATCCATTGCCCACGGATCTGCTCGATATTTATCGAATTCTTCAGGGTTAAAGCGACTGAGTATCTTCTTAAAAGCGTTTCTACGAAACCATACTCGTTGTATAATCGTCAATTTCGCGAAGAGAGAAAGGGTTACAAGCGTAACGAACACGTGCGTGTCTGCGTGTACGACTGGGTAATAAAATAAACGACCGTATAAATGAAGATGTATGATAGAAACGAAAGTGCAAAAGAGCGAAAGAATGTCGAAAAGATGGAGAGACTCACATAGGCAACGTAAGGAAAACAATATATTGATTATATTGCGTGGTACGAACAGAACTGTGATATTTTATTGTATAAATTTACGGAGGACAAAGAAAAAAAAAAGATGAAGAAGATGAAGAAAAAAAAATATGAAGAACAAATCTCTAAACGGATATACTTATACGGTAGTAGAAACGCGCGCGGGATATTACTGTATTTTACAAAGAAGTGCATCCTTAAGCCATTTAAAAGAAAAGAAAAGAACAAAAAAAAAAGAGGGAAAAAGAGAAAAGGGGGAAAAAAAGAGAAAAGGGAGAAGAAAACGGACGCGATCATACGCAATAGCGTGCGCGCGTCTAGGCCGGGTATCCCTTTTCGAAGATTGAGTTTCACGTCAGCTTCCGCTTTATGTACGAACCGCCTCGCGGAAGCTCTCGCGGGGGCAAATAACCAAAGGAGCTTCTGTAATAATTAAAGAAGAAAAGCTTCTCAAAGAGTTGAATCGAAGAATTAAAACGACGCCCTCTGTCCGGTCCATTCTCAGCTTTAAAAGGAATACCCGGCGATTTTCGGGCCAATCGTGAAGCCCTAGCGTCTAATCGTTTCCTGTTTGTAAAGTATATATATAGATATATAATATAGATATATTATATATGAATTAAATGTTTGATAAGAGAGAAAGAGAGCGTGAGAAGGAAGTGAAAGAAGCGAAAGTGCGATACGATGAACCGATCAAGATCCGATTTGCAACGTTATTCGTGAACGATTTTAAAACAGACATACTCAGATGCATACACGTGGTCTCGTGCATACAGACATCTACATACACACACACACACGCGCACACACACACTCTGTTTAATAGTTTATATAGAGTAAGTAAAATACGCTGAATTACATCTGTAAAGTTTCGAACGGAAGATCACATTTTTTCGCGTTTACTCTAATCGTCCCTCGCCCGAGCCCCAAGAATAAAAATGGAGAAAGAATGTCGAAGAATACCGTATTTCCTAATCCCCTGCCGATCGAGAAAACCTGACAGACAGAGAGAGGGGGAAAGTGAATGGAATGATTCGATGGCATAGAGAAATTGACTGATTCGGTTTTAATGTTGCTGTAAAATCTCGTAAATTTGCAAGGGGCGGTATTTTTTACTTTCGTTTGAATCACGAACAGCATCGGTGTGAAATATTTCCAGTAATTTTAAGAAATTATATAGACAGTTTTTAATGAATTTTCTTTTTTGTTTTTGTATTTCTAATATAGATGCAAATTAAAGATAGAAATGTACAACGAACAGAATGCAAGAAAGATTTTATGGAAAAGCGGGTAAGGATAATGCAAATTTTGAAATTTGAAAAGTAAAGTTTACGATGTTTTACAGCAATATTATTTAAGAGTACGAAGAATGAAACAAAATCAGGTGTTGCTACAAATTACGTAGAAGAGAAGAGGAGGTGACAGCGTAAACTGCGACCGGTGAATTCTCAGACAAAGATCACGGGAATTCGATGCCCGTTTGGACATGCTTAAACAGCGAGGAATACTTCGACGATGCTTGGAGAGAAGAAATTTTACAATTTTTCCTTGACATGAGAAACATTCGCTGGCCGCTGAGTGGCGGAATATTTTAATAAATGAAGGGGAAATCCACCTGAATTTCGCTCCAATCCGTCTAACGCGAATCTCCACGGTGTATGTAATAATTTTTCCTTAATAAAACACATTGGTTAAAAGCCAGAAGTACTCCATAATCTTAAGAAAATGAAAAACCATTAATAAACAGAGAAACCGTCACAGAAAAATTCTATACAATTCACGATCCTTAAATCTGAATCCTTTCATAATCCAAAGTAAGTACCTCCAGTGCACGTTGTTCTTAATCAAAGAATAAATAAAAATAACTTCGCAAAAGGTAACAAAAAAATTTACGAAACATGCTCTCGAAGTGTTCCACGAGACTGAAAGACCTGAAAATTTAAATAATCAAAGTCTTTCGTGTTCACCGTGTCGCAGTCTACATCCACACAACCAATTTCATCCCCTAACGACATCGCCCGCAAGAACTTGTCGTTCGAACGCAAAATCCAGTAATTTTCTGATCCCTGGAACGATGCGAAAAATCAGGAACCATTCTCCACGATAGATAGATCATAAAACGAGAGGAACAGTGACGAAACTCGTGCTATTAATTAATAAATCGTCGGCGTGTACGCATGAACGTGATACAACGAACCGAGACGATCATCGTTCCACTAAACGTTTTGAATATTATAAAAATAGAAAAAGAAAAAAAAGAGAGATCATGGAACGTTGCTCGTCCTGAAACAAGAAACGATCGCAGACTGAATAAAAAGAGAGGAACCGTGCGTTTTTCGTTTTCTTTCTAACGCGAGCACGACAACGGTACAAAAGAATTAAAAACTAAATAAAGGGAAGAAAATGAGAAAACGAAGATGAAGATGCTCGTGTGTTCTCGTGAAGCGAAATTCGTACAAGGAACCGGGTTCTTTTCAATGATCCAAAGGTTTCGTGATAGTCTTTATAAAAATCGTTGAACAAAAGCTCCTGGAGAACGTTTTTCTGTACGAATTTCGCGAGAGAAGCCTCATTGGTTGCAGCGAATCTGTTCGAGGACGAAGAACGACGATCTGCGAAGGAGTTAATGGAATTTACAAGGGACTATAGAGGAACATCGAATAGCGGATGCGTCTTTCTTGGTCCTTGATCGTCCGGTGAAGCAAAGTATCGCAAAAAATGGAACCGGTGTTGTATTCATAATCGATTTTCAGAGTTTTTCGCGACCATTTCTTCTTGATCCCCTCTGTCTCGAGCAGACAGACCTTGTAAAACAAGCCCCCAATCATCGACACTAACTGTTCGTCCTTTTTAACAAATATAACAAAACTTACGTCTTACTAATCGAGATCGGCAATCCGGAAAGCCATAGCAGTTGATTTTTAATTTATAGATCAATGAAATTAGAGAGTTCAGCAATTTTGATCATTGATAGAACTGCTACGGTATTCTGTGTTTGCAAAGTGTTTCATAATTCCTTTCCAAATGATTTTCACTTCAAAATATCTTTAGGCATATTTTTATCCCAATTTTAACAAAAGGGATAATTTTATTTAATGTAGAGATAATAAAGGAAATTTTAATTTATTAATTTGGTGTTTCAATGGAGAGAAAGGGTTAATTATTATTTTCTTTTTTTCTTTTCAATTAAAATGATATTTATTTTCTTGATAATTATAGTATTCATAAATTAGATTTTAGAGATAAAAAATGTTAAAATAAAAGAGGTGTGTTATACTTTTTTAAAAAACGAGTGAATAAAAAGATACCCAATTTTAAATCCCGCGAAATATTGAATTTAGTACCAAATAGCGTACACAGGTCGCGCATGATTCCGAATAATTCTACGTCGACATCTTTGCAAAAATGCAGCAAACTAAATGCATCGATGCAGCACGTCGGTATAGTAGAAAATACATGTGCTTGCACCGCGCATGCGAGTGACCAAATATATATCATAACTGAGGGGAAATGTCATGCATAATCAGCTGGTCAAATATAGGTGAAAAGATGGCGGGCGTGCAACTTGATGTTGTTAGGTGTCAAAAGAAACAACTTTAACACGCTGTTCACTGGCTGTGTCGACAATATTTTGTTGCAAATGTGTAAATAGATAATTGCTGTACATGATGGCATTTCTCGAGGTTAGTCTCACATTTTATTCGAACATTTGATCGTATTTTATATGTCGTGTACATAACCCCCTTTCCCTCACACGAAAACGCATTTATCTTTTAGTGGAGACGCTTCAATTTTTTTGATCTTAAAAAAGAAGTTGACGGCGGGAAAATAGCCACGGCTCTTGGTGTGAGTATTCATCGACTGAAATCGGATTTTTTCTGACATGATATTTGGTTATAGGTTAAGGCTATCGTGTTCGATGTATATTGTATGCTCTGTTGATTAGGACGCCCAAGTGACAGCAGCTACGAGCGGTAACGGGACTCTAGTATTCGGAGATTACACAGGCAATGTGCATTTAGTGAATAGAACTTACGATGTTACCACATTTCGCGCTTATGATGTCACATTAACGCTAGCTCAACAAGTCCAACATTCCACTTTCTTGTTCACCATTGGTGTTAGTATCATTGCATAATTGTTACACATTGATGCAGAGATATTTGTCATTAATGAAAAGTATGTTTCTTAGGAAGATGAATCAGGTTGTAATCCTACCATAAAGGTCTGGAATTTAGCTAAACCAGATAAACAAGGCAATCCAACATGTCTTCGTATAAGTAGAGCCATACCAAGTTATAGAGCAGTTCCTGCAACTGCTCTATGTGTGCATACTAGTCTTACATTAATGGCTATTGGCTTTGGAGATGGCTCTATTATGTTGTATAGGTAAAAATAATTAATTTTAATAATGGTAATCTTCTAATTTTCAAACATGTTTTAATACACAACTTTCAATCCTTAGGGGTGATTTAACTAGGGAAAGGAAAAACAAGATAAAAGTATTCGAACATACCAATTTTTCAGTTACTGGTTTAGCAATAAAATCTAGTGGCAAACAAACTCATTTATTTGTTGCTACACCAAATAGCGTTTTCGTATATAATATTACTATTAAGGATCAAGAATTTAAATCTCCCTTGGACACTATGGGCTGTGCCAGAAAGTGTAGTGTTCTTGCAGAATCTATGCAAGATAGTCATTTCATGATTGGTCGTGATGATGTAATAACATTAATATAATTTTATTATGGAATGTATGTAATAAATATTTTTCTACTAATTAATTTGTATTACTTTAGGCAATTTATTGTTACACACCAGATGGTAGAGGTCCTTGTTATGCAGCTGGCGGTCAAAAAATCATGTTAGAGTGGTTTAGAAGTTACCTAGTTATTATAGCAAAAGAAGCTGCGAATGATCCAAGAACAACAACTACCATTTCTGCAAAACCGAGGTAAGGAAATTTTACAAATTCATAGTTTTTACAAATTCATTAAATATAAACTAATTTTTAAAATATCATATGTTTATAGTACTATAGAACCAATACCTCCAGGAGTGGATAAGCATGTAATTACAGTACTTGATATACAAAACAAATGCATTGTTTTTTCTGCCCCAATGTTGTCTGTGCAAGCTGTTCTATCGGAATGGGGTGGATTTTTTATACTCAGTGGAGATAGTAAACTTTATCACTTAGATGAAAAAGACTTGCAATCGAAATTAGCGTTACTTTTCAAGAAGAATTTATATGATATATCTATAAGGTAGATAATTTCTACCTGAAGTTGTAGAAAATATTTCAATTATAATTATAATTGTATATAATTATAATTTAATATTACATTATTTTTAGAATAGCTAAGAATCAACAATATGATGCTGAAGGTTTAGTCGATATATTCCGACAATACGGCGATCATTTATATTCAAAAGGAGATCATACCGGAGCGATAGAACAATATATTAAAACTATTGGAAAGTTAGAACCGTCGTATGTAATTAGAAAATTTTTAGATTCTCAACACATAGATAATCTAACGACCTATTTGCAAGCTTTGCATAAAAATGGGCAGGCAACAGAAGATCATACAACTTTGCTACTGAATTGTTATACGAAACTCAATCATACAGATAAATTAAAAGAATTTATCATGGTAAACAAACTATGACTAATTTGGGTACAAAATTTATCGGTAATTTTTATGATTATGTTATATAATGATTTTAGACAAAAGATAGAGAGATTGATTTCGATGTCGAAATTGCAATAAAAGTTTGTCGTCAAGCATCGCCGGAGGATGCTTTGCTGCTTGCAAAAAAACATGATCGTTACGAATGGTATCTTCGTATTCAAATAGAAGATAAACACGAGTACAAAAAGGCATTAGAATATATGGCTACTTTGGACTTTGAAGAAGTACGTTGATACATGCATTTAGACGTGCATCCAGATTCAATTTATTCGATTAATTTTGGACAATCTTTTAGGCAGAATCCAACATGAAGAAATATGGTACTATCCTAATAGAAAATGTGCCAGATGAATCAACGCAATTTTTAAAAGCCTTATGTACCAATTATAGGCCTTCCAATCAACCACTTGTAGATCAGGTAAAATTGAGGAATTAAAAAATAACAGATTTATATTGGTACAATAAAACATATACTTGTAATGACGTATTTGATTCAGGAAATGTTAGACGGTACTGTGGACCAACACATCGATAAAGCTAATCCAGAAGATTTTATTCACTTGTTTTTAAATAATTCAGAACGTCTCGTAGAATTCTTAGAGCACCTAGTAAAAATGAATACCAAGTTAGTATACCGAAATAAATAACAAGGAAAGTTCAATTTATATTCTACAAGTTAAATGTTTTAATACATAGGTGGAGTACTTTGGTATACAATACTTTAGTAGAACATTATCTTCATATTTGGTCAGCTTTGGATAATGATGTGGCAAAAGTACAATATGAACAGAAAATTGTACGACTTTTACAAAATTCGGAAGCGTGTTACGATAAGGATCAAATATTAATCTTATGCCATCAGCATAATTTCAGGCGTGGTTTACTCTTTCTTTATGAAGAAAGTAAATTGTAGGTTGAGGTAACTTACACAATCGATATTATACTTCAAAAATTTATAATGTATATTATATTATATATAGATACCAAGAAATATTACGATTCCATTTACGCGAAGGAGACAGTGAACAAATTTTAGCTACGTGCAAACGATTTGGACATCAAGATCCAAATTTATGGGTCCAAGCTTTATGGAGTGTTGCAAGAAATAAAGAAGCACCAACTAAACTTCTTGCAGACATACTAACCCAC